TAGTTCAATCCATTTTATAAGATGCCCAATTCAAAGGGTAAGCGGAGGGGACAGGGACAGGACCAGGAGAAAAGTCGGCGGGGAAGGTTGACGGGGAAGGCGTCATCGTTTCACGGAAGGATTCCAGTGCAGTGTTTGTCGACGACGGCGACAGCTGAGCTCCGGCGTCCGAAGACGCTGCCGGAACTGCGGTCGGAGAGGAATATTCCCCTTGGAATTTCTTCCCCGGAGGGAAGACCGAAGTTGACGAAATTGCTATTGAACGTGACAATCCAAGGTAGCCTAGGTGCGGTGCAAGTTGTTATGTCGCAGGAGAACGCCGTCGGAGACCTAATCGCCGCCACGGTGAGGCAGTACGCGAAGGAAGGCCGCCGCCCAATTTTGCCGTCAACAGATCCCTCACGCTTCGACCTCCATTATTCTCAATTCAGCTTAGAAAGTAAGTTAGCCCCTCCTCTCAATTGATTTACTTCGCAGGAAGGTTTTCCTTTTTAATATATTAAATGAAAAAAAAAATAAATAAAACGTCTTTATATTAAAAATACCATAATATTTAACAATAATTATATAATAAATTTAATAAAATAAAATTTTATATTATATTTCATATATTTAAAATTTAATAATTATAATTAAATATTTTGACATTTTTAATATTTATCATAATATTTTAATTTTTTTATATATAAAAAAATTAATTATTTGATAATATAAATTTTTAAATTTATAATATTTATCTTAAATTATTAGTGTCATCCAGGATATAACGTTTGGTGGTGGCGATTGACGTTTTTTCTTTTTTTTTTTTTCTGTCAGGTTTGGGAAGGGGGGAGAAGCTGATGGCGTTAGGGTCGAGAAATTTCTTCCTATGCCCAAAAAGAACGGGGACGGAAGGTGGCGGGTCAACGTCGTCGTGTTCGAAAGAAGCGGAGGAGGAGGTTTCAAAATGCGGGATTCCTTGGCTGAAGTTTATCGATTTCCTGCTATAGGTCGGAATTAATTGCTTAGTCATGGTTTAGGTTAAGTGTTGCGAGTTCTAGATTATTCACCATCCAGGAATTGAAATTGCCTTTTTGGTTTTTAGGTTGGGATACTGTGGGAGAGATCTCAATTTTTTCTGTGTTTTCTCTTTTTAATTTTCTCTACTTTTTATTTTGGACGATAGACTAGCTGTCCGGTCGAGGCACCACGAAAAACCAAATATGTACAGTTTCAGAATACTATTATGGTAATGGATTATTGAAGTTTGAATTTTACATCAGTTAGCTCCATTTTGCACAGGTAGAATTCGAGGTAGGAGACGAGAAAGTACAATATAATAATGTTATAATTTGAATCTTAATAATTATTAAAATATTAAATATACTTATTAAATGCTTTTTTTTTTTATAAAAGTAATAGTTAATAAATTAATATTATTAAAAGTTAACAATTAAAAATTTACTTTTCAAATTAAGTGAACAACCCACCTACCTTGAGACACACGATTATCGAGTTGTTTAGTGAAATTCCTACTAGGTGCTCTTGAAATTGTTACACGTGTAACTTTTCTTTTCTATATATCCTCCTGGACTACTATGAAGTAAAAAAGCTATCTACTTTTTGAATGAATCACTAAACTAGCATTCTATATCTAACATTATGGTCAATGGTGGGTATAGGCTAACATCAATCTTATTCTTTTTGTTTTAGTTAATAATAAAAGACAAAATCTTCTCATTGTATTATTTAATTTATTCATATATTTAGATCTTCTACTTCATTAAAAAAAATTATTATTAAATTAGTTAGATATTTAATAACATCAATATAAATATTAGTATGAAGAAAGTCATTTGCTTGGAATATAGGCCTATTAGTGAAAGAGATGCTTCACCAATAGAGCTTTGACTGAGATTTAGAGATTTAATTGAAAATGAAGAACCTGTCAAGGAAGGCTAACTAATACTGTGAAACCTGATTTCTGTAAAACAAAATGTTAACATTACAGGGCAACCAAGGGTGTGAAATGAAATCTGAGGGTGATGATGGGAATAAGCTTGAAAATATGCATCTTTCTCTAACCATAAACAAGAGTGTGCTAGAGAAGAGACCCTGGCAAAACCAGCTATCCTCCACAAAAAAGACAGGTCTTCCTACAAAAACTTGGTTTGAAGACAGCTCTCTTATACCCCTAAAAGCATCCAATCACCCCAACCAAGCCACCTATATATAGCTCCCAAACAATTGGCTTCTCAACCCCTCTGCAAAGTACTACCTAGTTCATAACAACTAGTATAAAATAAAAGTGCAAGACTAACGATTGAGCATAAAAACTTCCAGTTGGATTGCGTAGTGCATTTGCAGCATGCATGCTCTTCCTCTCATAATTGAATCTACACATGCACTCCCAATTCCTGCACATATAAAGAAGTGAATTGAGTTTAACACCGCCGATCAAGAAAAAAAAATTGAGTTTAATACCAACAACAATGAAGGTGTATTAAAAAAAAAAAGGAAGGGATTGTTGGTAGGAGAGAAATATTAGCATCTAGTTAGGCAGGTTGTCACAGACGTTTTCAGACTCTCAATTCAGAAATGGGAAGGTTTTATGAGGGAAAGAATCGATTGGGTTGAGGATTTATGTTTGTTTTGAGGTTTGATCATGATCTCTCGAATTTCAAAAATTACCCTATAAATAACCGTACTTTAAAGATTAAACAGGAGTAAATGAACTTGTCCGCTGATTTGGCCCAAGAGGTTAAGAGGAAGACTTAGACTATGTTTGGTATAGTTGGTGAAAAGTTTTTTGGGATTTCAAAAGTTTTAATTGCACCAAACATTATAATTTGTAAAAAAATATTATAACTTTTTACAAGTTAGTTTTTTATGTATTTCATTGCAAATCTCATAAGTATCAAATTTGTGCTATTGTAGAAATTTCTCATTTGAATTTTAATGAAATCAACACATTATTTTTATTTTATCATTATTTTTGTTTTTATTTACAAAAACAACACTTTTACAACTGTTTTTTTTTAACAAAACTTCTATTAAAACTCCAGTTATACCAAACAGACATTTAAGATCTTCTGCACAGAAATGCACGTGTTCGAACCCCACAGCCAGCATTATTTTTCTTTTGCATTGTGTTTTCAAAACATATGGCTAAGTATGAGATCATTTCAAAATAAAATAAAATAAACTTCCATTTTTAGTTCTACTTATTTGCTTAATGATCTACCCTTACACGCCAGTTGGGGGACCCAACTACCAAGTCCAACCATTATACACTGATTCTAAAAATAAAGAACTGAAAATTTTCGGGTCAAAGGGCAATTGTTGTAACTCATATCCAAACAGTACATGGACTTGTTTATAGCTAATAGAAATAGAACATCAGCCCACCTTCCATTGTTGGATGCCAGGCCCAACTCTCCATCTCCCAAAACTACACTTGTATTTAAAAAAAAAAAAAACCTAATTGTTATTATAAAAAAATAAATATAAAAAATAATGCTTAAAAAAAAATTTTGTGAATTATATGATGGGAGGTTTCTCTCTCCTTTTTCATTTTCCATCCAACCCGAATGCCGCCATTGCTCACCTTTATATACAAGAAAATTGAAGTTACATTATGCTACAAAGTTAATTTACAATAATGAACATCATAAGACCATCTAAACCAAGTGCATTTGAAATATGTATCCAAATTCCAAAGAGAAATTGAGAATTTAATCATAAATCCCTCTTGGAAGGAAGGAAAACAAAAATTGACTTCATATTATTACTTAAGTGTAAGAATCAAGGAGAAATTGAGAATTTAATCATAAATCTCTCTTGAAAAGAAGAAAACAAAAATTGACTCCATATTATTACTTAGGTGTAAGAATCATGATACATAAATCCCTCTTGGAAAGAAGAAAAAAAAAAGACTCCATATTACTACTTAAGTGGAAGAATCATGCTACATAAATCCCTCTTGAAAAGAAGAAAAAAAAATGACTGCATATTACTACTTAAGTGGAAGAATCATGCTACTATAGCAATAGAAAAGAAAGGTTGGAAAATGGAAATGGTCCTGAATTGGGATTCCAAGAAGCTATATTGAGTAAGCATAATTAATGCAAGTAAATCCAAAAATAAAATAAAAAATATTGAGTGAGCATAATAATTGGAATATGCTTGGGTGCATTAAGTGGCTTCCTCATGATGGGGCATGGTAAGAAATGGAACCCAATGCATCGTTTTTGGAAATGATACATCAAAACAGCAGATTCAAAACTCCAATCCTCACAGCAGAGCAAACTGAGAAAGACTTCTCGACTACACACACTTTTGGTATTCTTTGTATATGATAGTGTATTTTGAAAATTTCTTTCAATTTTGGTCCTTTTATGGAATTCATAGCATTTGTTTTTCCTAAAGGGACTGCCTGCCCAAGTAAAGCCCTTGCTTGTTATACCATTAGTTAAATACCCAGACATTTACATTATGATTCTTCTTCCTCAATTAATTCTATATGCTTTTATCTTTATATATATATATATATATATTGGGTAAGAACAAGCCGATGATATGCTTGTAATTATGTAATATTCCTTCTTTATGTTCGTAGTAATACTTACGGACAGTTGGCTGGACCAGTGCAGGCTCACCATAACTTGACCTTATACTAAGTAATTAAGGCAAGTATATAGGCAAATCCTTTTGTATTCATGTTCAAAGTTCTAAGTATTTGTTCTCTATTTTCATTTGGATTATATTTATACTAAGTAATTAAGGCAAGCATATAGCTAAATCCATTGTATGTATATTACATGGGTCAAATTCGAGTTTTCTTTATCTTACTTCTACTTATTTCAATATTGGTCCATTGTTGTTTCTTGTTCAGAGGCATGTGCCTTAATTCATGGGCTTGTAACTAATGCTCAAATGTTTCTTCAAATCCACTCTATCTCTACCAAACCTATTAGGATATATACTAGCTTTGGAAGTTTCCATAACCTTTGGTTTACAATTAAAAATGAGAATTGACTTTTTACAGTGCCAACTATTGTGAGTAGACCCTTGTCATCTAAATAAAATTAATTTCTTGGCCCTTCCCTATGCACTGCACTCTATTAAACTTTAGTAGACTGGAGACCCATTATGATTATTATTATATTCTACCATCCACACAACCATTTTAGAATTTGGATAATATAGCTGTGTCTATGTCCCCCTATCCCTCTTCCTTTCATTGATGGAAGAAATGGAGGAAAGTTTGGCAGATATAATGAACCTTCTCTTAGAAGAAACATTGAGTCTGGTATCATTGGTTCTTTTAACAAACAAAAGAAAATTCTATGCAGGCTCTGGCTAAAAGTAAGATACCATAACTGAGATAATCAAGAAGCATATGAATATGATTATATTCCATAGCATCATGTAACTTGACTAGAAAGCTTTCCAAAGCAAGTTCATTTTCTAATTATCAAGCGGTAGTGATTTCGCTTTTAACAGCTCATCCTGCCTAACTAGAGTTCTTCTGAGAGTGTTGTAGAAGCAATGTTTAAAGTTCTTTTGAAAAATATTCAATTTGCCTAATTTCAGGTTTAGTGGTGGAGAAACTGTTGCAAGAGATGGACACAACTAATTATAAACTCACATTGATAAATTAACTATGTTTACAAGTTCACCCTGCCCTAGATTCATTACTTATTCCCCTCACAAAACTTAAATAAGACTAAGAAAAAGGAACTTAAGAAGAAAGAAAAAAGAGAATGGAAAAAATCCTCACAATTGAAGAACAAAATATTCAAAGAAAAGAACACAGTCCCCCTGCTGTTTATATCAGAATCTGTTTCTGCATTTTCCTTCTCCTTGATTCTGTGTAATTCGTTGTCACAAAAACAGCTTTTCTTGTAAATTCTGGGTACACTCCTTTTTTAAGGAAGACTGGCAAAAGCTTTTGTGCTGACATTTTTGATGAATGAGCTATTTGTGTTTCTGAATGAGCTAAAATGGGGAATTAATTGGAAGTTAAATGCTGCAGACAGAGTCCCCCACTTATAATTTGACTAAGAGGGAGAGGAAAACTGACACACCACAGGGTGTATGGAACTATATGATGGTGCCCACATAGCCAATTCCTGTGATGAAGAAGGTAATTGCTTGAAGGAAGAGGTATACAAAGTAGTTGTTCTTCCCATGAACAAAATCATAGCATCCGCAAAGGAAGAGGAATGCAGCAAATCCTAACTCCAATATATTCAGCCTGTTAGTTGAACAAGAAACACAAAAGAAATCAAAACCATTACAAAATTTCTTCTAGTTAAAATGAAAAGTCCTTCTCTTTTTCTTTATAATAAGGAGATTTGGTTGCTGAAATAATAATATGAGTCACACATGCTTTTGTGAATGAGTGATGATGAGTTTCTCTTTTACCTGTCAGCAAACTTGAATCTGGAACAGAACTTTCGGGGAGCTTTAACATTTGCCTTCTTGGCAGCTTCCTGTTTCTTGAGTGTATCTCCCAACTTCTCGGTGACAACCCATTCATTGACCCTACCAGCCTCTAGCAGACCAATCAATGTTCCCTTAGTCCGGTGTAGGGACATCACATTCTCAAAAAGGATCCAGTAAAACAACAGATGGATAGACCTGAAATCCGAGAAAAATTTTCAGTCTTTGCTACTGAAAACCATACGAAAGAAGAGAAGATATAGCAGGACATATAAGGGTCACCTTGGTGTTCCAACTGAATTTAGAATGGTGATAATTGAAGGAATATAAACTGCTCCCCAGACAGGTACTTCAACTTCCGGAATCAAAATGGTCAAGGGAAGAACCACACAGTAAAAGAGAAATGTGACCATATGGGCAATGACCTTGCGGACAAAGAAGAAGCTGTAGATAACATAAACCTTCTTCCAGAATTTCACTTTCTGCAACAGTGTATAACAAATTAGCATCAAAAGTAGGAGAACTTAAACAAAAGACCAGGGGATTTCTAAAACAAAATGATGAACAAACCTTGTTTGTAGCAATCTCCCAAACCATTTTCCTAAACAAATTGGCAGGACCACAGGACCATCGGTGCTGCTGGAATCGAAAGGCCTTAAATGTACTAGGAAGTTCGCTTTTCACCTGGAGGCCACCTAGGTAGACAAATTTCCATCCACGAAGACTAGCTCGGACAGCAAGGTCCATGTCCTCCACTGTTGTCCTGTCCTTCCACCCACCTGCCTCGTTAATAGCTGCAATTCTCCATATTCCAGCAGTTCCTGCATTTAAATTCAGCAGCAACACCTTACAATTAAATATCACCAAACATTTCAAGTGCAACAAATAGTAACCATTAACAAACTAATTGTCTATTTTACCATTGAAACCAAAGAATGCATAAGTTGCTGATCCAACTTCTTGCTCCACTTTGAAATGGTAATCCAATGACATTTCCTGCATTCTTGTCAACAAGCACTCATCTGCATTCACTGCAAAATTATCATAATTTTTAAATATCAATATCATAATTAATTTAGCATGAGAAAAATTATATATGGATAAATCCAAAAGAGGAAAGAAGGACATAAAAAAAAAAAAAAAAAAAAAAGGGGGGGGGGGGTTTAAAGTTTATTTTTCAACAGAATGAAAACCTGCGAACCACTTTTCTTTTATTTTAATTATTACGATGTTTCCTCACACATCCAAACAAAGACTTTTACGGCTCTAAGATTTTCTTATTCCTGCATCCAAACAGTGTGATAGAAGGACAAAATAAGCAAGCGTCGGCAGCAAAAGGAAGGTCCACCGGACCACCACGAGGGGAACCAAGTACGGCCCGTACGTTAACTTTTTTCTCTTTATCCGGGGCTGTTTGGTTGTTTTATTACACCAGCAGGTGAGGACTGAAGTGGCTGCCGCCAGTGCAGTGATTCCAATGGACGATTCTGTCCCTAACAGTTGACCCCCAAGATACCGTACTATCCGGGTTAAGCCGAAAATACCAACCTTAACTTTATGTGATCGGTTCTAAATCACTTTGCTTTGCTCATGTTTCAGCTATCAAGTGTAACCAAAATTATTTGAATTGCATTTTTCATTTTCCTTTGGACTTCGCTATATGGTGTGAAGCATGAACACTTATTATGGAAAAAGAGGAATCAACAGATCCTATGGAGGTTTGATTCTTGGAAATGTGACAAAGAAATGCAATTTTTCTAAAATCTTTTAATACACATGCACATCAAAGTTGATTTATAAACAATATTTTTTTAATTTATAGCTTAAATTAATTCATATAATAAAATATTAATTATTTAATTTAATTAATAAAAGTTAAAACTCTTTAATATTAAAAATCCTCTTCTTATTAAACATTTTTATTTTACAATTTAAATCAATATGTAATGCAAAACAAATTCTTCTCCTTCTATTTTTGAACTGACTAATTTTTCTCAAAAAAGAAAAGAATCAGGTGGAAATAGAGTAAGATACCATCTTAATTGATTCAATTGTGTTTGCCGATAAACAGGAAATTTTCAATTTTGCAAACGAAAATGGTTGGGGTTCCGAAAGGTGGGGCCAAACATGAGAGATGTATGGCGGATAACAAAGATGTGTCAAAATCAAAGGAACAAATGAAAAATGACCCCACCCGTGCGTGATTTGTGGGTTTTTGGTGGACCCACTTATGAGTTCATGCAAATCTTTCTTACCCATTCCGCCGACAAAACTAATACTGCTCCTACTCCCAACTAAAACCGAAAGAGAAAATGGAATTGATTTTGGGATAATCTTTGTATTTTATTTTTTTATATAATTTTATATATTATTTATATAATTTATTTTTTAAATAAATTTTATGATGTTAAATATATTTATTTATTTAATAATATATAAAAATTATATTAAAAAGTAATATAAAAAAATTATTCATGTAACATTACGCGAAAGAAAACGAGAAAAAAAAAAAAGGGGCACAAACAGGGGACAGAACCAGCAGCAACCACAGACAGACGGCAGTGAGAAATTGAAGCAGCAGAACAGGAACGTCATTTAATGAGATTAATTAAAAAATGAGGGATAATTTAATTTAAAAAATTAACAGCTGGGATTAAGATAGAATTACCGAATCTCCAGCGAGCTTGAACCAGTCCAATGTCAGGATTATGGACCAAGAAAGGAATGCTTCGCCGAAGGAAGTCCGGTTCTGGCCTGAAGTCGGCATCAAAGATGACGACGTATTCGCAGTTTTTCACGTAGCTTCTCTTCAGGCCTTCTTTTAGGGCGCCGGCTTTATAGCCGCCTCTGGTCTCTCTAATTTGGTACACTATGTTTATGCCTTTGCTAGCCCACGTCCGGCACTCTTGCTCCACCATTTGCTGGGTCAATCAAGCAGATTGTCACATCATTTTGAAGTTGAAGCATAATTCAAATTGAGTAAGAGAAAAGGTCAAAAATCCATATGGGAAACCCATTTTATTTCTGCTAATAAATGTTTAGATTTGTAATTTTGCTGGTTTGGAGGTACCTTGATAACAGGGTCAGTTGAATCATCAAGGACTTGGATCACGAGACGATCGGACGGCCATGAAAGTCCACAAGCAGCTCCAATGGAGATCTTGTAAACCTGTCCCGGAGACAACAAAAGCATCAAACTTTTGAGCATTTTCTCTAAAACCCACAATCAAAAACAGAAAACAGAGCAAAAACAGAGAGAAACGGACCTCTCTTTCATTGAACATTGGGATTTGAACAAGAACTACAGGGAAATTTGAGCCTCCAAGTTCTTCATCGTCCTGAATTGGCTCAAACTTGTACCTCTTTTCTGGTTTCTTCCAGAAAAGCTTTATAAGGATAATGACAATACCCATGTAAACCCTCTCCACGAAAAGCATGAGAGACATGGCCAAGCAAACATAAACCCCGAGATTCAACAGAGGAACAATCAATGGGGCTTTGATTAGCTTCCAAATCAAACCTATTTGCTCTGCAATATCGCCACTGGACAACTGAAATGACTCTGGGATCAAAATCTTGGGTGAAATTTCAGCCATCTTTACACTCTCTATCTAAGAAGATCAGAGGAAAACAGGGGATGGGGGATGGTTTCTAGGAATTAAAAACAAGGAAAGGACAATAGATCTTTCTTGGGTGTTTCCTTGACAATGTAGTCCGAAAGAAGAGATGTATATTGATGATTAGATGGAAACAAAAAGACAAGAAAGGAAAAACCCAATTCAAATCTTTCTCTCCCTCTTCCCCTCTCTTTACCCAGATATGGAAATCAAACAAAGGCCTCTGCTCTGCTCTGTTTTGCTCTGCTCTTGCCAATGCTAGAAACAGAGAGAAAATTGCTAAGACAAAGAACAGAGAGAGGAGGGACTAGGGAGAGACTTCATGTGAGGAAAAGCAGGGCAATTGATGGAGAGAGAAATACAGAGTTTTATAGTCATTTATGACTTTCAGGTCTTCATTAGGTTTTAATTTTTTTTGGCTGTCAATTAGCATTGGGTTTTAATTACTCTCCTTTTAAGCATAATAGGGAAAAAAAAGGGGAAAAAATGTTTTAATACTAGTATTATGGGAATATATTTAATTAAGTAATTAAATAAATAAAATTTAAAAAATTTTTAATACAAATTAATAGTAAAAAATTACATAAAAAGAGGGTAATTAAATCCTAATTGAATTGATGTGAAGAAATAGGCTGACTGAATGACTGTCTGTATAACTGTTCCAATTACGAGTGTGAGAGGACCTTGACTTTCATGGCAGGGGCGCACATTTCATTTTGAAATGCAATCCCAACTGAAAGTACAAACTTGCCCTTATGAATATGAAACTTCCTTCCTTTTAAATTGATGTAAAGAAAAAAGAACTATATATTTATACATAAATTTTATATACTATATTTATAAAAAAAATTTATTTATTTATTTTCTTTTTATAATTACAATATATTATAATTTTTTAAATAAAAAATTATTAAAAATAAAAAATAAATTATTAAAATTTTATATAAATACAATAAATAAGACTTTTATATAAGTGGATGCTCTCTCTTATACTAGCTATGAAAGCCTTGAGTATTACAACTTTATACTTAAAAGAACCATATAACAGTAGAGTAGAGAAGAACTAGCCCCCTGTTTGCAAAATAGTTTTGACTCTAAACCATGAGATTCTCCCCATTTCCATCATTTTCTGTTTAAAGTTGTGATGATGTGCAAGCATGACATGAAATGATTAGTTGTAATATGATCCAGCGGAAGATGCCAAAGATTAAACGCTTCCACCTTTTTCAAGAAAATCTCATTAACCGTCTCTAACCCAAAAGGTTAAAGTGCACTTGGGAAGATTGAACTAACCAGTAAGAATCTTGTTTGCTAAAATTTTAGCAAAGAAAGAATTAAGTGGTTGAACTTAAATAAATTCAAATTAAGCATTAAAAAAAATTTGAACTTTAAGAGCTTTTAAATGTCTTTTTATTTTTGATATTTACTACTAGTGTCTTCTTGAATTAATTTTTACATATTTCAAAATTATTATTTTGTTAAATAATTTTAAAAGTGCACCCTTCACAAATCACAATTCCAAAACATAGATCAAAGCAATTTCTCATTACTAATTTATGGGGAATATATTTATTAATTAAACTTTTAAAAAA